ACCTTGAGTTGCTGCTTTTAGTCTTACCGTTCGCCAGTCGACCTGCCTGGCATGGTAGAACCTGCAGGAACATATGTTCCAGCCAATATAGCTCGGTTGGGTCATCACGATAGGCAAGCCCGACCACCGCGTCAAGGTAGCAGCTTCGATCGGGACATGTGCCATGAACCCATCTGTAAATAAAGGTCCTAACAGACTACCCGTAGCAACCTCATCAATCTGGCGAAAGTATTCACATTCGAAAGTGGATTGAAATTTGTCAGTAAATAATAGTAGTAAATCTTTAAGAATTTTTAAATGTACAGGTAATTTAAGGTTGTTTAAAGATACCTAGTCACATAATATGTCGATAGTCTTTTTTAAAGGTACATTTGTGAACAAGGAATTCACGTCAAATAAACATTATCTTTTCCTTGATATTAATATCACCTAGATGATCGACCAATTCAAAAGAATCCTTCAGAGAATGCCCACATAAACATCTTCGGATAGGATCCAGCAATTATGTTAGCCATTTAGCTAAGTTATGTGTAGGTGGTCGGCACATTGATAAAATTGGACGTAAAGGAATGTTTGATTTGTGAATTTTAGGTAGTCCATGTTGCATTTGGAAGTATTAGCAAACGGGAGGGAAGAGTAAATTCAAACCTAGAAAAATCGCTACACATGAATATTATAAACAGAAATTTAATTTTCTAAAAACTATGGGTTCTGAGTACCCTGATTTATATGGACTAGGGGAAGATTCCACTTGAAATGGTCACGAACATATAACCACTGCTTTTTCGCGGCGGGGTTGTTGTTTAGGATATTGAGAAGACCAAAAGCTAGCGTCCGGTTCTTTAGCCGGGTTTGTAGAACGGCGAACCCACCTAGCGGGGTTGGAAAACCCTTATCTCAAACCATTGTTTTATATGGGCTCCTGGGAGAACAAATGGCTTGTAAAGCTATTGTTGATCACCGGACACCATGCGACTGCCTCTCCTGACGCCGTTCCTATACTTTGTAGATTAGACCTCATGGTCAAGGGATCGGGGTGTGGCCCGCTGTGAAAACCACCTGCTTCAGTTTGCGCGCTTTGGTAGCATCACAACCCTCACACAAATCGAAGTGTCACGCATATATATATATATATATTCGGGGCCTACTTGTACCAATATTTGTATCTAAATAACAACGGTAATCTAATCTACAAGGCAGTTGGGCAACGTCAGATGCAGTCCCATGGCAACCGATGACCAAAAGTAAGTTCATACAACATTGATTTGGAGTCAGTTTTTCAACTCTACTACTAGACAAGTCCTGCGTATCCACCAACCCGGTTAAAGAACCGGATATTCCCTTTTGCACCTCTCAGTTTCGTTTACAACACGTCCACTGCTAGAAGGCATTGACTATATTCGTGGTTATTTTGGAGCATCTATACTTAGAGGTTAAATAAGGTTTGATAATCACGGACCTGTTTTTGTCTTTTCAATAATAATTACTATTAAGGATGTCTTCCTACCGACATGTTTTTTCTTTCAAGTCCTTACGAAAACCTCTGAGGTACCTGAGCCATTTACCTGATGGATACGCCTTCAGTATAGTGGAAATCAAGCTAGAACCACCGTTGGTATCTGAATTGACACTATCTCACTTTGCCACATCGTTGAATAACCGCGCATTGGAGCGAGATCGAAGTCGTCTCGAAGATCTGAAACTTACTGAGCTAAAAAAGGCAGCTGAAAACCAATTTACGTCACTGCGTAAGATAACTGTTAATGGGTTGGTTTTTCTTTTATAGATGGGTGCATACTATTTATATATTTAAGGGAAGTGGTAAGGCAGTGATACGTTCGTATCCAAGCTTTTGCTCTTAATATCTAATCGTTAGTTCAGCTCGTGACCAATCATTTTTCATGACTTACTCATTACGATATTTAGCAAATTTGTTCATATTATAATAACTTTTCTATGGTTTGCTTTAATGAAATATAACCGAATAAACCCCTTTTCCCATATTTGTATAGTGATAACACCATTTCACCAAAATAGAATAAAGACGTGCAGCTCAGGTGAATTATTTTGAGGCTGAACTGGTGTTGGCCACTATCTGAAAAAATAATGACTAGATACGTTAGCTGTGTATAAGATTGAGTTTTAGTTAGATGTCGAAAACTGTTTGGTTACTCGTTGTTTGTGGTTTGTAGAACATCAAATAAATGCGCCTAAACGAGACTGCAAGACGAGTTGTTATTAAGTAGCTCTGGTTAAGTTTTGCAAATTAAAAATGTTACGACACTTATTATGAATGATAATTTGTTGAACGTTATCACCGTATTCCTTTCTTTAATTTAGGTATACGCAATAAATGTCCTGACCGCTTCAGTCAATGAAGATCTATAACTTCATCAACCCACTCCCCACTTTGACTAAGACCCTCAACATTGCCCCCCCCTGACCTGACCCATAAAACGTTGGCAATTATGGTTTATAGGAATGCTAGGTAAAATCTCAGGATCAATAGTGGTTATCGTAAGGATTTCCATCTTAAGCGTAATATCCCTTAGTTTTTCCCTAAATGAATTTCCGGTGAGTTTTTTTATCTTGCCATCTGATTGCGAGATGTGATTCATACAAGTGCCCTAGACATAAATACTATGAGCACTCTGTTACTAGAGTCTTCAAACTGCTAACGTGCTGTAAGATAAAAAAGCGAATCATTCATAAGACCAACAGCCTCTCCTGAGGTGAATAAGTCCTTTGTTTCCCAAATTAAATCACGACTGACTTTGACGAAGATGGATCATACTTCAATATAACACTTTCCAAATTAGCAAGTGGGATAAATTTATCTTAAAGGGACCTATGGATAACAAATATCTGCAACGTGTTTATTTGATTCATTAAGATGAACCATTATTGTGACTGATTTGTCGGGGATATTTCTATCTACTAAGCTTTGAGAAATTCAGTTTGCAAGTAATCAATAATATCAAGCTGTCTGAAAAATAGATGGGCTCAGGTTCGTTTTAACTTTGGTTAACCTCCCATTATTTTCGGTTATAAATAGAGTCATACCAGGAATTCCTCTGTTCAATTCGACTGATGTTCCGTCAGTCATCCGTGTATTATGCAGCGAAATGTGACGACCATAAAGTAAATAATTATACAGTCTATCGTTCTTATGACCAAAGTTGGTTTGCAGGCAACACTTGTGAGTCCAAGTATTCGGTGGTCCTCTTCGCGTATCGTAAACACAAGCAGCGAACTGCTGTCGATGTGCGTACTTGGGTACTTGATACGCGTGTACAGATACCATGTGATACGACGCACTATGCAGGGTAACACGCTTGAAAGGTACCTAGACCCATGGGTATCAATCCATCAAAACCCTGGTCGCTGGTCAAAGCAGTGCTGGACGGTACAGGCTTATTGATTGGTGTCTGAAAGCTAGTCGTTACCTATGGTTAGAGTAGTCGATTAATGTGCTTGGTTATTTAATCGTGTTTTTACTTTCTCACCCCTTGTATTTTAGCTCCTTTCCGTCTCAATCCTACATCCCTAGGATGTAGGTAATGTTAGTGTAGATTGATGCTGTATTAAGTCCCACAGAATAACAGCCTTTAAATACATGCATAGAAAAATGATATTCCATAATCATATTTTGTACCACAATTGCATTGTTTTAGTGTATTGTACTAACGTATTTTCTACGTAACTTTCAGCTCCAGGTTTTGTTCTCAGCGGTCATGCAACTTTATCAGCTAAGCAAGGTAGGTTATCTATTGCTCTAAAGTTTTGTTTCATAGAAGTACAACTTGACCCCTCAAATTTTGTCCCACTCTCAACTACGACGCAAAATATAAAATGGAAAAAAACTTTACCAATCAGTTTTGCTGAAGTAAGTACTATTTCCCATCCATTTTCGTGTATGTAAAAATGTAGTAGACAAGAACGATTTAATACAGAGGTTGGTGGGTTCTAAACAAGTATTAAGAGAAAGTGGCAGATTTTATTGCCGGCCAGTTTGTAACGGATTAATTTTCGGTGTATAGAAACAATCTCTTTTAGGTTGGGTCTCGTTTCGCACTTATAATCTGCTTCAGGAAGATATTTAGCTACTAGTCATTAGCGGGTATACAGCACATCATTCTGCCTGATGCTACAACACTGATTTAATACAGCTCCAAGTAGTAGAGGATTTTCATAACAATTAGCATTCCAATCATGTATGTCTTTAGTGTATTTCTTCTGTGTAATAGAGTTGAGGTTAGTCACAGTGGAACTTATTTACTGAATATATGTATGTATGGTCACATCTGAATCACTGTACTTGTGAGTGCTAGTGATAGTACTCAGCTGCTCAAACCGTAAAAGGTGGAGCAAGAACTGAACTTCAGTAAAATTTACCAGCTAGGCCTTATTATCGTTTAAGTGAACTGTTTTTGGGTGCATTTCTTCTACTAAAAGTTCTATTTTCTACAAAATATACTTTACGTATTTAGATTTCTCGCTCTGGTGCACTCAATGTTGTTGGCCCAGATCGTGTTGCCCATTTCTCGCGAAGTCCTCCGAACATAACAAATCCTAAACGCTTCGATATCAATTCCGAATCTTGGCCTACCTTAGGTGAAACTTCGAAAAGCTGAAGAAATATATTAAAGAAAAAAATCGACCAGTCTCTAGTTTAGTCGGACAGAAAGCTTGAGTGCCTGGCAAACTATTTTATATTTTCCAAATAAATTTGTTTATGGCTCGACAAGCCAAACTTGACAAACTTCAAATGAAGTGTCTGTTACTCTTACTTAACAAGTAAACGGATATGCTGACAAATTAGTTATTTTATTCAGCTGGTTATATCAGCTTGGTTGTGCATAGTTTGTTGATTAGCTTCCATTACGATGTGCATGGCAAAGCATCCAATTCTTACATCCTGTTATCAATATTGTTTAGATGGACAAACTGTAAAAGCCTTAGATGACGGTTAAGTTATTTGGTCCCCAGAAAAATATGACCACTCTTAGAAAGTGTATAGTACAAAAACATGTAAGGGTAATTGACAATACGTTTGAAACTAAAGTGTACAAAATACATTCCGTTTGTCTCTCTCTCTCTCACAAGAAATAACAAAGCATGTAAGTTTCCTTCCTCATGTCTCATCAGCAGAAAATCACGTTGACAGTTTATCACTCAAATAGAATTATCCTGTTCCGAGTATAACATTACGCCAAATCGTTAGGTAAGTGAATCAGTGGAACGGCACCCGACTAAAAATTAGAAAAAATGGGACGAACTTTAATGATAATTTATTTAATAGAAACAGAATATTCCCTTGATTTGTTTTTTGTTGGGTGCATCAGTTTTCGCATTTGTCTCAAGAAAAACTGACTTAAAGTTTACATATATATATTACAAACTGAGAAGTCTTACACATGTTCCTCATAGCAAAAGCGTAAAAACATGATCACTATTGAGATTTACTCGATACGGAACAACTTAAACTTTTCTTAATATTCTCAAATTACATTTCAATGAATGTAGACATTAACATGAAGCCGTTGTTTGACTTCATCGACTTATCCCAAACTACATTACACACTAAACAAACACCCAAATCGATAAAACATGAGGCGACCGATCACACTTAATATGAAAACTTACAATAAATCCCATCATCGGTCCATCTAATTTCCGTGTGTGTGGTGCTATTCTTGAAGAAAACTGGCTTAGGCATGCTGAGAATCCAATGCACGTTTCCCACGGGATATGTATTAATGTGACTCCGAAATCTTTCCTCCATGAATCAACCAACTGTGCTGTATTCCTGTAATTGAAGAATAAAAAGTTGTCTTTATGACAAAAGTAAATTGAATTGATAGTTTGAAGAAAACTCGTAGGCTAAGTAAATATAACTGCTAAAATTGTAGTTGTATAAAAAGGAGTAGAAGTCCCCAACGAGCTAACCCCTTAAATGGTGAGACAATCATTCAGTGTCTATATACTTTCGAACTAACTGGAAAAATTCGCCATGCCAAAGAATCCTCACCATTAATGACAGTTTATATTATATGATTCATAGCGATTTACAATCCTCCAGATATTGGAGGTCCTACATCAGAATAATAAATGGAAATTCACTTGTCATCATTTACGGTCTCAGTGTGAAAAATCACTTTACAGTTAAGAAACACTACATCTACTTAGCGAAAACTTCATAAGAAATAAGCAGAGGTGGATGGTGACTAGCAGCGGAATCCAGAATGCGAGTTTTGTCCTACTTGGGACTCATCAGCTGAATGTACCTGTATTCCATAGATGTTCAAACAACCAATACAAAAATGAATTCAGAAGAAATAGTTGTCTAGGAATGTGGACGAAATAGTGTGAGTTCACAAAATATGTGAGTAATTTGCCAAATGCGTGTTTTGTGTATTCAGTCTTGAGACAGTGACAGGTCATTGAAAAACTACTCAGTACCCCAAACGGAAATAGGTTTACCACGATTCGGATCTTAAACCCAGTGATTGTAAAGGTTAAGTACTTTGGTCACCACGCTACCGCTTCATACTCATGTATATGAACTTAAATCTGATCAATTTCTTAGTTGATGCACTAACCAAATTCATTTTCCAATTTGAAGTCGCAGCTGTGTAAACAGATGATAAGATTTTGACAAGATTTGATTCAACAACTGAATATAATATGTTTAAGGCGTTTAAACAAAGTCATTGTGAACTCATGAAATCACTGAGTAGTACCAACACATTGTCAACGACGATAAATGATTATTATCTACCAAAAATTTAGATACTATCTAGTGACTGAAAACAACTACAGCTCCGATGATCCTCAACCTATTTATTCAATGTCATGAAACGTAAACTGTTGTAAAAGACAATTTAACTATGAGGTGAAAAATTTGGGAGCTGTTTTTCTAAGGTTTTATTTATGTGTATTAATTCCATGTTTATTGAGTATTTTGGTCTTAATATTTGCATACTACCCTAGTTCCAAGCTTTTTATTTGAATGGTAAATTGTTGCTATAGCATTTTCCTCTCAGACTAGAATTGATTATTTGTGTAACCAGTACTCAGATTTTTTTCCATTAATTTTGCTGTTCAGTGTTAATACTTTTATTCGATTGGTTTGCTGCGTGATCTGGTCTTGCATGCATATAAGTTGATGTCTGAAGTATAATAATGATCTTGGATTGGAGATTATTGGTCTTCTGTCCTTTCTCTTCGTTCGGGGCTAGTTATTATTGAAGCAAACGTCAAGCATAGAGTATCAGTCCTCCTCATCCTTGCCGCGTATTAGTTACTTAAACCAACCGGCAAAATACCAGATAGACAAAACTCATTGAAAATTGTTTACAACTGATAATATTAACAAACGGTGACTTGTTAAGTAGGGGATATTTGAAGATCCCCAGTTGAGAGGACTAAATAACTTTTGATTTCCAATGGTTTTTCGAAGTTGGTATCAGGCGTTGATGGGAGCCTCCTTTATGTTTATCATTCCCCCAAAACCCTTCAACATTCTCTAGTCATACACTGCCTGCCTAGCTTTTTTCCCCATTAATTTTAATCCATAACAGACTACTACTACTTTACTATATTTTATACTTATCGAGCAAAAAATAGTATTCCAACATTTGTGTAACAACATTGCATTGATCAATCACTGAGTAGTGACCAATCTTACGTTTGACTAGCTTTTTGGTGCCAACTGAATTATATCGACCAACAAGTTGCACTATTTTTTGATGTCATGTGATTTGAAGTACTCAACAGAAGACCAAGGATCTAAATTCCATGCTAGTTGATACCTGTAAGGTATGTTTGTGTGTCAACTCGATCGAATAGAATTCGATTAACGCTAAGGACTAGACAAACATGACATCGGTCATCATTCAATGACCAGTCAGTGTGAATATTTCAGTCCTACAGAAAGTCATTCACGATCCAAATAGTTCAGTAGTAACATTTCAAATTGTGGGGCTGTGTGATGTGGGAGCACCGCTTCCCTGAATATTGCACGTTCGCCTTAATGGTGAGTGGAAACAAGGACAAAACTTAGGCCCAGAATTTCCTGGAGAATACCTTCAACCACATAACATTATATTGCTTCTTCAATATAACTGAACAGAAAGTCGAATAAAGTGGAAAGTTTGTTTTCTTGGAATGATTAGTTTGTGTTTATTCACCAGATACGTATCACTGATTATTTTTCTACTTCAATTAATGTAATGGACGTTACCGAAATGTAATATAAAGACCATAAAACATCGACTTAATTTTAATAATAGTAAAAGAAATTTCAAAGAAAAAGACAACTTACAATGAACAATTATTATTCGGTAAAAGTTGTTGATAAAATACACGACGACAAGCAATCGGTTCAATTTTCACAGAATGTACAGTGTTTTGTTCATTCTTTCCTAATGAACCCTCATTTACATCAATTGTAGGTGACGTACAATCTTGTAAAGCAGTTGTATATAATCTTATTTTTTGGTCAGGTAACCAAAGCTAATAATTATAGAATTTTATCAGAAACAAAAGAAAAAGTGGATTATTTCTTAAAGAAATAACACTAGTAATAAAAACTGAAGTTTTTTTGTCCTAAATTCACTAATCCCGATGACCCCTAAAAAATACAACAATCACGTGACCAGGCAACACATGTTTGTTTCACTTGTACACAATGAGATGATTGAAATCTTCGGGTTATGTAATTCATTGTAGGGATTGGATCTCAACTATCTTATGAATAATTATGATATATGTTGTCAGGTTGAAATCTTATATATATTTAGACAGCCGCAGGTCGTTTTAAATTTAAACCCAATAAATCTGTATCTATAATTTGAACAGAGATTTAATCTAGGTTACAACTAGTTAATGTTCAAATCACTTTTATTACGACTAGCACGATCCAGTTTAAATTACATGATGAACAGTAAAATCTCTTGAAATATGGTTATATCTTTCACCAGGAAAGAATAACAACCAATGATTTAGTTAAGCAGATATTGTGAAGACTAGTTTGATAGGACAGTTTAAATGAGGAATTACAGGAAATTGAGTAAGTGGTAAGTCGTAACTGATGTGGCTCAAACATATCGAGAATGAAACAGTTACCACCGATGATAGTGCATGATGGCTGGTAAAATATTACTAACTGATTGAGGATAGAAATATGAACGTAAGTACTCCACCAACTCATTGGTTCATAGTTTTTATGTTATTCTACAAGTTAGTATTTCCTGACCACGATAATTCACTCGACTCTTTACAAATCAGAACAATAATCGAGAGAGAACAAGGTACATACCGATAACATGAACAAAGAGATGTAGGAAAATAGGAAAGCATGCAATAGTTAGGAATCCAATCTGTCAACATTTTTTTCTTTTAAAGAAATTCATAGGATGTGTTATTCAAATCCACTTGCATTAGACTGTCCGATCTGCGCTTATATTTTATCTTCGGATGGAAGGTATTGTACGGTGAACAGTGAACGTTTTGTGTCTAATTTTAACTTATGCTTATATATATTGGTATGTGAATAACTTTCTTTCTTAAGGCTCTATAAACTTACTTGATGAAAATCAATGAATATTTAGGGGAAACAATTGAAAACTAATGCACTTTATACACTATAAATATAATTTTTCAACTAAGACATTTCAAATTTTTTCTGAACTAGCTCCATTTAGAAACAAGTAATCGATTTTATTTCATTTATTTATTTATTTAAACACATAAACATTGGTACAAGGAGGCACCGAATAGATATGCGCCATACAGATCGCATTTGATATGTTTGAGGGCTGTGATACTGCCCGGGTGCCCAAGCCGAAGCAAGTTGTTATCTTAAGGGACCACACCCGGAGCCTTTGATCTGAAGGTCTGACCCACAAGGCAGTGGAGCATCGTAAGGAAATGCAGTCCCATGGTAGCCGGTGACCGAAAATTGGTTCAAACGTCATTTGTTTCCACAGGATACTGGAGCCTATGTGCACCATTGGTTGGGAATACGGTTAAAGTGCTGGACATTCGCTTTTCATCCTCTCAATTTCGTAAACAACACCCCCGCCACGAGAAGGCAGAGAGTAGGACTTCCCTGACAGAGGCTGTATACGCATGGCCGTGTGAGAGCATTTCGAGAGGGAGGGAGGGCGGGCCCACCCCACTCTCGGCCATACCAGGACATTCGGGGGCAAGTAATCGATAAAGGAAAAGGAATGAAATAACTCAAGTGTATCATTCCTCCATACACATTATCTTAATATTTCCAAGAATAAACAATTCATTGACAACAATTTCAGCAAGATAAAAACAAACAACTTAATACATAACCGGATTGATTTCGTAGTTCATGTAACTGTTTCATACCTTTCAATAAATCCAGCTAAAGACTAGTGGGTTATCTATTTTAAAGATTGAAAAAAATTTGGCAGCATACAAGTTAATGATTTGATAATACACATAATCAAATGAATAGATTTTTGTTACGTATAAATGAATTAAAAAAATAGTCTGCTGTGTAGGTATATGATCTAAACGAAGTTTCTCTCTCTCTCTCTATTTGTAATATATCAAATTTACCATAAAATCAATAAATTCCGATGTTGAAAATGAAACATGGAAATCGATGTTAACAAGTGCACAAATCAGTATACGTTGAAAATTTTGGAATAAGAAAAAAATCTCATTAGTAAGCAGTTACTTCGTACTAGTTTAGATGAGAGAGAGAGAGTGAAAGAAGAGGAATTGATGAGCGTTTATGACCATTATACATATGATCAAACCTGAGACCTTTAACTGATAGTTATGGAAAGGATGTATTCTTAGGTAAAATCAAATAAATTTTTAAGAAAACTTATTTTATTTACATTAAATATTATGGTAGTATTGTGGTGTCTGTGCTACTTATATTGACATAAGTAGTATATGATGTTAGTCGTGAACAGAAGGTTTGACAGCAGAGAGACAAAAGAATTGAACAGTAAAGAATGGAAAAAGAATGCAATTTGTATGAAAATGCAAGAACGATGAAGTCTGAGTCATTTCGAGACAACTGATGGACAGTTTGCAAATTAAGCATTTACTTTATGATTGTTAGATTTTATTAACAAGTCCTGTAATTTTGTGTCAAGTACATTCGATTGTCCCTGTTATATCCGGTGAAGATTAAACTACAGGTAAATTCCAAGGACTATTCATGGACTAATATTCTATAAATATTCTTATTGTATAACTACTCAACAATTACACTATGGATATTTATATTCCTTTTATGATAAGCTTTATTTTGATCTATAATTTATTATTGTACGATTTACGGTTCTTAAGTTATGTTCAGTTTATTAACTACTGCCTCCCACATTCACAGCCACTTTTTGGGCTTATTTGTGTACAAATATTATTTCCTATTTTATGGTACGTTGCGGTCTGTGTGATTGATATATAAACCAAGTATGCCTGAAATAAACGATCTGCTCTGATTCGGAAGCTGGTATCTTGTTCTGGACTCAAGTGGAAGGGCTCGTAGGACATAGGACCAATAAGGACGCTAAACTGCCCACACCGGTTGAACGTCATTGGTTGGCCTAGTGTGAAGATTCGTATAAGTCGTATTCGGATTGGTAGATAAGTCGTGTGATCGAAAAGTCAGACATCCAAGGTCATAGCAGTCCCTATCCGTGTTCTGTTTATTACAGTATCTGTACAAATAAATCGTTCACATAAAAGCCCCCTATAGGCAGGCGGCTACTTTCGGAGACAAAATTTCAAGCAAATTAAATATCGCTGCTCATTCAGTTCAATTCATCAGCGTAGATCTTGAGCGATTAAATAACTGTTAAGATAAGGATCCTAATATTAATTAATTTACAATATTCTAAAGAGATGTAAACGCATAAAATTAGCATCACACATATTTTCTCTTAGAAATAAACTTACTAACATAAAGTCTAAAGGTCCATCCCACGTGATAGCTGATAAAATAACACGATATTGAGTATTTTTTATTAAATTTTCAACTAGAAGGCTATAAAATTCCATTTCATCAGCTCTGAATAAAAGATTGAAAGAGAGAAAGAAAATATCACTGAATTAATCTATTTTAAAAATTAAATAAAAGTAGTGTGTTATGACTAAACAAAAATTGATGTAGCTCGATGCAAGCAACAACGCAAAGGTGATAGATGAGGATTTGTCATACACCAAAAATAAACCAAACAATATCTGAATACACACAAATTCTTACATCTTTCATTTATAATAATCAATAGTTATACGGGGTCAGTCAAATATCTCTGAGCCCTAGCTGAATCATCCGTCGACCTGGACCTATCTATACAATAGAAGACTGAACGTCAAATTATTGACCGAAATTTGTCAAGGTCAAGCATAACTTGCACGGATTAATCCACACATGCCATGAAACTAGTGCAAGCAGCTATTAGTCAGTTTTGTACTTTTTACCTCTCCATTATCTTCGTATTAAAATAAATTAATTATATGGTAAGATTCTATTTGTTCTTTGATGACACCAATGAAGAACAATAGCTTAACCACCAAATTAGACAATTGTCAGTGGTGTGACACTAACGTAAAACGACGTATGTTAAGCATTCACATCATTCCTGTTCAACTCCAGTCGAATAAAATCTACAGTCATATTATAACATTAAATTGAGTAGCACTTGACATTAATTAATTAATAACATAATATCTGAATACAAGCTGGATAGTAGTTAGTTAACTGTTGAGTGCTTGAATTGATCACTCACAAATCCACATCCTGAAATTAATTTGTTTTATTGCCCAACAAATTTAGTTGGACCTGGCAGAACATAAAGTGCATTGAGAAATATGCTACAAAACTGAAAACAGTATTCCATTACAAATTATAGATGTAACAATGAATAGATGTTTCGGAATATTCTAACATTTGATTCTTCTCCAAAAAAATTTTTTTGGCAAGTAGACATTAATAATATGATGCGAAAAATCTCAGATATGCAGAATTAAAGTTTAGATCATGTGATTGGTGCTACTAATACAGTATGGAACCCGTGATAAGTTTTCTGTCATCCCATCCCAAAAATACACTTTAAATTATATGAACGAATTCCCGATTGTTGAAGTCGATGAGTAGAGTGCTGATTGATCAATGATGTACAACGATGCAGTCAGTCAGTCAGCTACAACGTAGGACTAGGCACATGTATGCATCGGTCCAAGTTGTCACACCTCATTAGCCCAACAAGGTAAACACCAAATTCATAGAAGCAGTTACTTCAGTGATAGTAATATATAAAAGAAAGACTGCATATAAGGATATAATCCAGGGAGAAAAAACCATTTCGTAGAAAAGGAGGTATAAAGTAATTTTAATCTCACGGTTTAAGGGAAGACAATGTGTGTATACACCTACGCTATTGTGATTGATCCTGGACGATGTCACCCAGAGTCCCCAACGATTGGTAGTCTGCATCTACCAACATGGATCGAACAAGAATTTAGTGACTTCAAGGACTGATGCCACGTTTTGGTTTGGCCGTCCCTAACTTTCTTCTAATCATCCCCAATACTAGTCAGCATTGTGCGTCGTGGTAATCAGTGTTCAGGCATACGTAACACGAGGCCCAATCATCTCAGTCAGTGAATACTCACAACCTCATCAACTGATTTAACATCATTCGTATTGTAGGTCAATAAGTGAACCTCCTGGTAGGAAATCAATGCCCGAAAATTCAGTCGACGAGAAAGTTATTTCCAGCAGTAGGTCTATGATTAAATTAAACAGAAATGGAAATAGTGGACAACCTTGACGGACAACACTTGAGGTTGCAAAATCAGATGACAGTTCGCTATAAGCTCTGACTCGACTGACAGTGTTCGATTAAAAAGCCATCACCAGGTTTATATACTTCTGAGGTACACCTCTCAATGACAGACACTGCCACAGAACCTCGGTCTACATAATCAAATTCCGCTTTTAAGCCAAGAAAAACCGTCATTCCCGGATGTCGACAAGCATACCTGCATTCTAAAATCTGACGAATGGTGAATACGTCGTCGATGTAGCCATGGTTAGATCTGAAGCCAGCCTGGTTTTCTCTTATTTGCAATTCACGAATCTTTGCTGGGCACCCGATAATTTTTGATTCCAGTATTTTAGATGTTATATTAGTCAAACTAATAATTCTGATCCTTTCTTATACACCGTGAAGATCAGTGATTACGACCAGTTAGACGGGATTACATCCAGTTTCCAGATTTTAGCTAAAATATTGGTCAACATAATCGCAAAAATTAACCCACCATCCTTAAAGACCTCTGCAGTTACTCCAACTAGACCAATTGTTCTTTCTCATTTGAGATTAGCTATAGCTTTTGAACTTCAATTAGAGTCAGAGGGTCAGTTTCGATGTTCCATTTAGGGTGTTTGGAAATGGTGGGTAACTGAAGGCCTGCTGGACTGCTTCTTAAAGTGTTCTGCCCATCGTTCTAAACGTCTGGACTGAAAGCAGATAAGTGTTGTCTTATTACGAGATTGTTTCACTTACACTTGACTTCTTAATTCCGGTTTCCTTTATTGATCTGAAAAGCTGTATTGTGCTACCTACAGATGCTGTCTTTTCCCTCACTTGTTTTTGTTGAGCGCCACTGCTCACAATCGTTCCGTAGACTTTTGATGAATCTAGATCTGATTTGTTTATGCTCCTCATCATGTTCAGAGCCTGATGGGATAGGTTTGCGAGAGTCTGACAGTGCAATAGATGTTGCTGTTGTCTCCACAGCTGCTCCTATATCCTCTCAAGTAACATCTAGATCAGCTGCCAGTCCACAAGAACTAGCCATCAGGTCGCCAGATACATGGAGGGTTTATCTCGTCGGCGCCCCGTTTTGGCGAGGTGAGGTCAAGTGAGTGACCACACTAGGATCCTATATGTGTGTTTTGGAGACAGCATACATCAGTGGTACGAGATTCTAGGGTTATATCCAAGGAGGCCTGCTGGTCGATTTCACATAGGGTGTGTACGTTGAGTCAGTCAGTCAGCTACAACGTAGGACCAGGCACATATGTGCATCGGTCCAGGTTGCCATACCGCATCAGCACAACAAGATGCACACTGGATTCATAGAAGTGGTTAGGTCAAAGGTGGTAATATATAAGAGAAAGTTTGCATATAGAGATATAGTACAAGAAGAAAGAATTGGTTCGTAGAAAGAAAGATATGAAGTGACTTTAATCTCTTAGTTTAAGAGAAGACAGGGAGTGTATACACCGACGCCATTGTGATCGATTCTGAACCATGTCACCAAGAGTCTCCAACCATTGGTTACGAAAGTCACGCAAACCCCAACCAAGTAGTCTGCATCTACCAACATGGCTCAGACTAGAAGTTAGTGACTTCAAGCACTGATGCCACGTTTTGGTTTGGCCGCCCCTAACTTTCTTCCAACCATCTCCAATACCGGATAGCATTGCACGTCGTGGTAATCGGTATTCAGAGTGTACGTTGAAGACTCCAATGTGTAATTTGGAGCGAGGTTTCAGTAGACATGGGACAGTGTTTCGCGTACTAGAATCGTTGGCCATGGTGATACTGGAGGAGAAAGTTTAGAGTTGACAGTCGAGGCAGGAGGAACATTAGAATTGAAGAAAATTGGTTATCAATACAGTGGTCTTGAGTGCTGTTAGAGGTATGGGGGTGGTTATCACTTCCCAGTTGCCCACACCGTTGAAGGGTTCTTTTAGGGGTACCTGAAAAGGAAGTCGGATTAGAGGTGATCTTAGTAACTCGAAAGTGTGACCGTAATAACTAAGGGACAACTGCTTGTGAGCGGTCACATACGACCGTTTTGTGAGTAATTTCCATGTTAGCCCAATACTTGTTAGGACCTTACCGCTAGAGACGGAAATCCATGGGATAAGGTGAAGTGTGTATTTTTAGGGTCGACCTTTACTGACCTCACCCTTCCGTGAATGAATCAGCATCGCTGTTATGCTGGTTGTATGAAGAAAACACTTTACTGCAGTACGAATTCGCCCTCGAACCTTGTGTTTGCTGCTTTTAGTTTTACCGGTCTTCAAACAACCTCTTTGGCATGATAGGACCTTGAAGAACAATTTTTCCAACCAATATAGCTCGATTGATTCATCATGATAGACAAGCCCGACCACCACGTCACGGTAACAATAATACGATGTGTGGTTGAGTGATAACTTTTCATGAGACCAAATTTCTAACGTAATTTCTCGAATGGTTTGAAATCAAAGACAAGAGACCACTAGCTAGAATAATAGACTTTTCATGTAATATTCTGCTCATATAAAAGATAGTGACAAGAAATAGATATGAAAAATGTCATAAGCGATCGGAGAAAATCAGTTTTCGGGGCCACACACTCTCCAATCAACTAATGCTTGATTGTTAGATACAATTCTTTGATATTATATCAAACATTGAATGGTAATTACCACATAACAGGTCTGATTCTGTTCGCCACGGTCAATGATAATAATACCAATGACCATTAAAATGAACTGAAAAATGACTTTTTTGTTACCACAAATTGATAGAAGAAGAAGGAAAATAAACAAGCTAGAATATCTAGGATTATGCGTGTAGTCAGTCATTTATGTAATCAGTATAGAACCTGGTAGAAATATCCATCGATCCAGGTTGACACACCCCACTAACACTGAGAGATGGGATTAACAAATCGAACAACGTCGATAAGAGTTAGAAATACTAAAGATGAACAATATAGTTCAAACATGTGTGAAAAATATAGAAACGTAAGCTTTAAAAGACAAAGAGTTGATGCATCTGCATAACTGACATCGATTTCGAACCACATTACTTAGCATCTGAGGTCACTAATCATGCGAACCACAACTAGCTAGTCTACACCTACCAATACGGAATAATCTAACAGTTGACTTCATGGATTTAAAACCACACCTTTATTCAGAAAATTATGTATGTAAGCTATGAATATTACATCATAAATCACTTGGAGATCTTAAACTAGGTCATTTAAACCAACTAAGATCAAGTACAGTAGTACATTGGATGGGAAGTATATTTTGAAACTCGTACCACTCCTATGGTGAATTCCATTTCATAAAAAAGTTAACCTATCAAGTGCATGCGACTCCGCCTGGAGCCCCTCTCGGGCTACTGCCGGTCCCAATCTCGGATAAAAGAGGAGGGTTGGGCATGTGGTTAGCGACCTCACCCCGTAGAAAACTAACTCGCTAAAAAACGCTAATCAAGTAATAAACTGCATGCTACTACTAAGTAGTATATGTAATATAACTAATTTTTTATATCACCAAAATTCACTGTTTCACTTCAGTCCACTAGAACGAATGCCATCTATCCAAAAGTAACGTTAAAGTAACTTTGATGTATCCAAGAAGCTGTGTTTTTAACCGGTAATTAATAAAGATGATTATTTAAATCACTACTATTAAATGAGATCAGCTGAGTACATATTTGTACAATAAGCAAAAAATGCAAACTAGGGACAAAAATCAAGCAAACCAAGAATCCATAAAATAAAAACGTTACGTGGAAATAACGTATGACATCTCTTAGCTTCAACGACTAGAATTTCACGTCTGCAAAACTTGGTTCCAGAAATTCTCAATTTTTTGCACAATAATCATAACCAATAGTTAGAAACATTAGGGGGTATTGTTCAGAATTGGATATAGTAGAGTAGATTAATTCACTGTTCACCTTCCCCCAAATTATCAGTTTTAATATCAATCCATAGTCTCATATTCTTTAACTATATTCATTCTCTTTGATTTATATACTCTACACTTAGTGATACTACTATGTTAACTCCTTTGATATTCCTCTTACTGTCCTTATTTAGCATGGTAGATGCTGTGCAGATAATTGGACAGATGCACATATTTTCTGAGTCCTACGTTGGTTCCAGTTAAATGATAAAGAGCTGGGTAGTACATACGTAATTCCATCAGTTAGTTGACTGGTGTCAATCTGCATTGTAAATCTGTTTGAGTTTCCTGAGAATCCAACACCACATCTTTGATTCGTTTTAAATAAAATTTGCATCACCTTTTTACCCACAAAAATCCAAATTTTACTCAGGCACGTATGACGCGCAATATTTCTGGTTAATATCAACTCAAATGTCTTGTCATACATTGAGTAGCACTACCGAAGAAAGTCATGGGCGGCTAAACCAAAACGTGGCATCAGTCCTTGAAGTCACTAAATTCTTGTTCGATCCATGTTGGTAGATGCAGACTACCAATCGTTGGGGACTCTGGGTGACATCGTCCAGGATCAATCACAATAGCGTAGGTGTATACACACATTGTCTTCCCTTAAACCGTGAGATTAAAATTACTTTATACCTCCTTTTCTACGAAATGGTTTTTTCTCCCTGGATTATATCCTTATATGCAGTCTTTCTTTTATATATTACTATCACTGAAGTAACTGCTTCTATGAATTTGGTGTTTACCTTGTTGGGCTAATGAGGTGTGACAACTTGGACCGATGCATACATGTGCCTAGTCCTACGTTGTAGCTGACTGACTGAGTAGCACTACATAGTTAAATATTCCCCAAGGAATATCGGGGGTGGAACAAATCACATCTAATCGTCAGTCGTTAAAAACGTTCTCTCAATATTACTTAACAAAATCAAGCCTTGACAATTCAATACTTAAATCATTGATATATTGAATGAAGAGGATAAGTAATCAACAAGAAATAACTAGACGCGATTACTGGATGATATTTTATCAATTACTTCAAAACATAAAACTGATAAATGATTTTCACTTATTTTACAATAGTTACAAAAGTTGACAACAATGAATCTAGACAGTTGTGGTTGCTAAACATACTATCGAATTAAAAATAAATATAAATGGGAAAAGGTTATATTCGAAACTTACATTAATGGCTTTTCAATGTAACCAATAAAATCACCATCAATATCATTTTCTCTAATTAGTAAACTTAAACAATTAGCCCAAAATACAAAGTATTCTTGAGAGCCAGACAAGACTAAAAAGTACATGAAGAAGAAAGCGACAAAAGTCAACTACAACTATAAAGAAAAAGACAAACATCATTAACGTATAGCCCGGCATAGATGTGTATTGACTTTAGTTGTCGTACCACATTAGCACGAGATGAAAATAACAAGAGATCGAAATGATGTAGTAGTGATAACAACAAGAAAAACTCAGCCCTGAAAATATGGTTCGAAGTGACAGTCATGTATGACGGAATACTGAAATTCAAGATTGGAAGACTGTAGTGTCGGTTGCTATTCGCTTACCAATCTTGACTGCTTTTATATGAGCGTGTGTGCACTTCTTATCCTATTCATCACTTGTCTGTAACTTATTTCCACGTGACTATAAATATAGATTCATGCTTAGTTAAATTGTCTGCGGCCTATGCTCCATTGGGAGTAACAAGCGTAAGTAAATAAGCCTAGTTAAATTGAATTGGCTCACACGCCTCGATTGTGCGTCGTTCCGGTTCGTTCTCTTCACTTCGCTTCGTTTCTTCCATTGTTTGTCTGGATTAACGATTGTGTGAAATACACGTATTCGAAATTCATTCTCACATTTGAATTATTTAATTCCATTATAAATTAACGCGAGTTAAACCGATAAAAATATACGACGATTGGCGAAATATATATTTCAATAACAATCAGAAACGATAAATCGGGGTCCAATTTCCAGCCACTAAAGTGGCGGACCCGTTGACAACAATATCTAACCTAATTGGCGTCGAAATATCAAGCCAATAAAAGATAAAGAATGAATCTATTTGGACAATTGTGAATGATTCTGAGTCATATCACTCGAAGTCTCCAACTACTGGCCAGTTGTCTTGCCGATCACATACAGGAAGCCTGTTTCTACCAGCTTAACTCACATCAATAGTGAGTTCGTGTAGTGATGCCATGTATTGGCTTGGTGCCACTAGCTTCCAATTAATCTAGTTCCGGACAAGCAAGCATCCCTCGTCAAAGTAGGTCTTAGTTAAGCATAAGTAACATATGTCCTAACCACCTGAATCGGTTAGGATTTTTAACCTCATTCATTGGTTAACTACTTCGTCTGACACCATAATTCTAAATTTAACACTTACAAAAGAGGATAAATATCTGAGTAAAGCAATTTATAGTCACTGACTATATCAGCATTTACTTTACACTCGAAGGTTAGATGTCGACGGTTGGAATTGATATGACATCATTTAGAAAACATCTAAGATTTAAATAATTTATGCATTCATAGTTACAGACTTATTTTTTTGTATGAAAAAAAATTAGAATTTAGTAAAGCCAAAATAATATAGAATAAGTAAACTGGCACTCTTTGGTTGATTGTAGGAAGACAAGCGCTCTAATAATAATAACAAGACTGAGAAATAACTGTATGGACATATGAAAAGAAACTGAACTATGTATAAGCTCCGAGGTTCGTTTGGGAACAGTAAATTAAGGACACACACAACAGACAAATATATCATAACAATTAATAAAGATGTATAAATGAGGAATAAGAAGTTTCTTTACTCGCACCTCCCTCGATAGTGATCTGAAATCAATTTCGAGAAAGTAATGGGTTTGTTTATATGTCGAATTTCAGACACTTTTTTTACCAAGTCCTAGCCTCTAACTGTAGAATATATTGTTAAGCAAACTGACACATTAGTAGAGTAAACAAATAATCTACTCTTATACATTCCAGCCACAAATGACATGGGATTCCACTCAAATGTATAACGATTTAAATTACAACACTTGAAACCAGTGCAGAGAAAAAAAGTAACAAAACAATAGCCGAGTAGTTGAAACAGTAATATTAATGCTAATCGAAAACTAAACAGGAAATATAGTTCAGCTGTTTCGGTGATTTATTTGAATAACTAACGACGTTAGAAAATTATCTGTTGAAAATCATGGGTTTAAGAACACAGCAACCTATAAGTCACCAACTACCAGAAGCATTCGTATAGTTTTGGTCCTATGAATACTAAGAATTTCCTTAATATGAGATATGGTACTCTACTGAGTGATCAAACAATCTGAGACTTAAAGCGTAAACTAAGAATCTGTACTTCAGGTATGTGAAAGAAGTACTGGCACGGAAACAGACCCATTTACTTAGGGAGTAAGGCGTCCCACTTGAGTTCCATAACCAAAATTAAACATACAGCAACAATTATAACTCGATAGAAATGAGAAAAACCCAATGTATTCAAGTTTTTTTTCATTAGAAATACCGTGACTATTAGACAAATGATCGGTCAGAATAAAGTTGATTTGAACTCAGATAGTGAGGAACTAGTGTTATTTATTAGTCTTAACTAATACGTATCAAGTATTTGCTTAAAAGTTGTAGCTTGTTGTCAGTTCATAAAGGCGACAAATACATTACTAGTAGTACAGCGTTTTACCACTGCGTTCACTTTTGGGTTTGTATGACTATATGTACTACTTAAGAGTATATATATGATGAACTTCGAAAACTGGGGATAGATTTAGACTATTTGTTTTGCAGGAAACAGAATTAAAATATTATCCAACAAAATATTTCTCCATTGTCAATATATCAACTTTCAACTACAACAAAGAAATGTGATCTGTACCTTTTTTCCCCAAAGCCATTAAGCAACTAGAACAATGAAAGAAATCGTTCCCTTTGGATTGAATGGACTGTGGTTCAATCAACGAACGGTCTATCATTAGTTCTAAACCAGTGAACAAACAGCTAGATGGAGAAGCCAAATATAAATTAACTGGAAAAGTCTGCGTATTAACGGAGTTAGAGGCCAAGTCCTCAGTGCTTTTAGAAGTTGGATGACAGAAGTAGCCATCTTCAATGCATAAACCTTCCTCCTCGAGAGTGATAAATTTCTGGAAGTTATTAGTACAAGTAACATCTCTAAAACGTGTATCTAAAAATAGTTTGCTTACTTTATATTTCCTAACTTCTGTTGGCAAAATTTGCAAAGAATCGAATCAGCTGCAGTAAGGTTACCCATAACTTTACTTAATTTAGTTATGTTGTCACAGGTCTGACTGATATACGATGCATTAAATCTGCACGACAAAGTTCTGTCATTAACTTGACAAAGATTTTTGCATGTCATGCACGATATATTCAATCCATTTAATGTCACTTGATGAGTTTCATTGGCATTCTGAATCTCAATAGTATCCGAGTACACATTAATGTGACACGATCTGAACACAAAAGTATTAATGTAGAATAACCCAAACCCTGTCTCTTTGATGCGACAATATGTAACATCAAGACTTTTGCTATTATCAACGGCTTCAGCGAATAGCATTAAAGCTGAACAGTGCAACCTCCTGTTTTTCAACACCAATTTAAATTTTAGGCGAGTAGCTGTAATATGAACAGGAGTTTAGATTGATTCGGTTTAGCTTCGACAGTTTACTCAAATAATTAAGAAATCTATGAGGGAAAACGATGCAAAAATCTCTATATGTCAGTCTAGAAGTGTCGAAATTTACAAAGGTAAATCAAGATATACTGCACCAAGCCGAAGTAAAAAAAAGTAGCGCAAAAATTGTCACGACAACCCTTAAGCGCTGCCCAACTAAAAACCCATATGGCTTCAATGAGCGCGGTGTTGTTACTCTCCGAGCTAATAGCGGAAAGTTCAAATGGTTGTGAACGGAATAAAAGCTTTCGCTTAACGGGCTTACGTGTCTAGTAGCAACCCAAGCTCCCAAGTTTGGGGAAATTCCAGAAAATTTTGGAGAAATCCCTGAAGTGAAATGGCCCTCCCCAAAGTTTGGGGTAATTTTAGGGACCACCAATACCTCCAGGATGGAACAACTAATGCCACATCTATGTTACGTAACCAATATCTTTGTCACCAGCTTGCGTAAACTGGTTGATTTTCTTGTGCTTGCTTCTTGCTGTTCCAGTACGGTTTCAGGTATTTAATAATGTTCACTGGTTGGTAGCCTAGTCACTCGACTGAACAAATTCTAGCCAGTTTGTTAGTCATTTGTGGATTTACATTTAAGTATGTGCGTCTGTCTCAGAGTAGTAGGGATTTTGAAAACCAAAAGCTGTCACATCAACAGGTGTGAGGTTGGTTAGTTCAAACGTGTAAACAACAAAGAGATAATCTTAGTGCTACGAGAAGACGATTGACTCAAGAATAAATATATAATTCACTTAATTGGCAATGTGTAAAAAGACTTAATCGAGAGAATAAGAGATGAAATTGAGATGATAATTGGAAAGATAGGAAGTAGTTGCTGATACATAGTGCTGATAACAATGGTAAATTATGAGACATGCATCAGAGACATCTGATTCAGGGGGTAGATTGTGATCCATGGATAAATACCTGTTTATTAAACCTCCTCATAAAGCTATTCACTAAGTTGGCTGCGGTCACATGGGCTGAGAACGGATTCCAAATGGGGCAGTCCGTAATGAGAAAAAGTGTGAGTGTACCTAGATGATCGCTCTTTACTATGTAATCCTTCAAAAATTGCCTTATGGTCATTTGTCATTAGTGACAGTGTATCCCATGATAGTGGTACGTGTGAATTTGTTAGTTTCCGCCTGAAATACAAGGGAAAAGAGCCGATGATTGGTTTGGTTTACCGCAATTCAAGGTGTGAGGTAAATGAGGTCTTGCTAAACAGTCTCAGTACTTGGTCACAAAGTGGTCGATGTCTAATCCTAGGAGACTTTATTGCACCCACGGTGGGCTGGAAAAATCCGAGAACTGAATTGTCAGAAAATTCCGTCGAGCAGGAACTAGTTGATGCGGTTATTACATATGCCTTAGTGCAACATGTGAAAGAAGCGACTAGGTACCACCCGGACTCTGAATCATCCTTACTAGATCTTATACCGACCCACTATGAGGATGGCGACTTCCATACAGTTGTCGAAAACGAAAACGTGTCAGCTCAATCCAGACCTAACGTTTAGAAAGCAAATATACAAGACATCATACACTCCTCAATAGACTGGATAATAAACCCAGAGTCACCGATTGAAATAGCTTGGGATGTATTTCGAAATTTATACTTCGAAGTTAATGGACCTCACATCCCTTCAACTCCACCAAGGGAGCCGATAAACTCTCTGTCGTGGTTCAGTAAGGAAGTTCGCACTCTACCCCGTAAGAGAAGAAAAATGTGTCATAGGTTTAGGTTACTGGGGCTGATGAGACAAAATCTCAATTTCGAGAAGCTCGGAATACCTGTGCCTTGACCCTTTGTAAGTCTAGAAGGTTGTACGAAGAGAAAATTGTCAGGGAATCCATAGAATGCCCTAAACGCTTGTTTTCGTATATAAACCAAAGGACGAAAAAGGAAATATTCCAGCATTATGAGGAGATAATACTGCTTCATCCTTGGTGGAAGACGACTTTGGTAAAGCTCAAGTATACTTTAGCAATGTATCTACCATAGAAACACCCTTGCCGTCAGTCCATACAGACCCCACACACACATTGGACAACGTGACCATTAAAAAACTCGATGTCTTTGGTCTGCTAAATAAGCTTGGCATAGGCAAATCCACGGGACCCGACGAACTTCATCCCGGGTTACTAGAGGAATTAACTAACTTCATTGCGAACCCTTTGAGTATATGCTTTAATCTATCCGTAGCCAGTGATCGTTTACCAAAAGACTAGAAGAACGCTATAGTAAGCCCTGTCTTCGAAACAGGTACGAAACATAAACATGAGAATTACCGACCCGTTAGCCCAACTAGTGTGGTTGTTAAAATTTGAGGAAGGATTATTCAAAAGAAGCTATTTTAGTACCTCCGTGGAAACCGGATCCTTTTGGAGAAGCAGCATATTTTTAGAATAGGTTATTCTCTTATCACTAACTTATTAGTAGCTCGTAAATGCTGGTCAGCTCTTAATAACCAAAGGTTACCTAGAGACGTAGCCTACATTGACTTCAGCGGAGCTTCGGACGAAATTCTTCACAACCAACAGTTATATAATATAAGAAATGTCGGGATTAGAGGCAATCTATTGATGTGGATAAAAGACTTCCTAGTTGGGCGCCAACAAAAAGCACGGGTAAACTCCGAGTGGTCTAGTTGGGAAACTGTGCTTAGTGGAGTGCCTCAAGGTACAGTTTTGGGTCCAGTGTTATTCCTCTCATATGGAAATGACGTTTCTCGTCTCCCATCATCATCGATCTTGTTATATCCTGACAATGTCAAGATATGGAGAGCGTTAAGAAGTGGTGGTGATAGGTTAGAACTAGAAAATGACTGGTCACAAACCTGGCAGTTGCCGATAAATACCTCCAAGTGTATTGTGATGTATATTGGTCAAGGTACAGATACATACATGATAAGTAGTATTGAGCTACCTGTTGTCCAGACACGTAATGACTTGGGAGTCATCGTTAGCCAGGACTCAAAGACTGCTGCACACTCTCGTGCGAAAACCGCCAAGGTTATTAGAAACCTATGGTCAATACGTAGGACCTCTAGTCATGTTGACGTCGAAGTTTTTTGACTTTTTCTACAGCGTTTGTGAGTCCTCAACTTGAGTAGCGAACACAAGGGGATAGCCCTCGCTTAAAAATTGACGGTGCGCTCATGGAAAAAGTTCCGAGAACTGCATCTAAACTGATTCCCTGAATAGCGAAGCTCCGGTATGCTGCTCAACAGGCTAAGCTAAATCTATTCCTGTCGATGTATCAAAGGACTAGAGGCTGCTTGAATACAGTTTTCAAATTAATTAGTGATAAGTTTGCACCTGATATGCCCTCATTTTTCTTGTCTTCTAAAACAGAATTTACGAGAGCACTCCAAAAAAGTTCACAAGCCCAGAAAAAATTACTTGCCAACTGACTATCGACTTTCCCACTGAATTATCAACGAGTGGAATTCATTATTTCAGAACGTGGTTGGGGATCCATCTATTAACGCTTTCAAAAGAGAGTTGGATCAACACAGAGTCCATCATTTCCAGGACTAACTCAGGCCATCAAGCCCCCTGACCTTTCCGAACTGAAACTGAAGCTGTAAGTACACGTTATGCAAAGGACGTTACTTCCCAGGTTTGGTTTTTCAATATCGTGGTTAGTATGGTATAACAGTTGTATAGTAAACACTTTTAATCATGCGGTTACCAAAACAACCGGCGCCTGCACGTGTTTAAAAATGAGCAATAAGAGTAGGGTCGTGCATAAAAAGCAGCTTGCCATTAAGAAGGTTATTATCCACAATTCCTATGATGTTTCAGATAAAAGAAGAGAAAGAAAAACAATTCTTCCTAACTGATGAAAATGGAAACATCATACCCGGAACATACAGAACACCGGTCGGAGGTTTGAAGCTTACTATTTTATAGCACATATGTTTCCAGAAGTTAAAATTAAAAAAATTAAAGCATCAGGAAATTACGACATCCTGTCACTTGCGCGTTCAATGAACGACAATTTTGCATCGAGAACCAAAGAGTTATTTATCCCAGAGGTGGATGCTGTTAAAGAAGCTATCAAAACAGGTCTTTATATATACATATATATCGTCAAACGTTTTTAATATCCGATGAAGCTGCTTTCATTTCCGGTTCAACCCAACTTTGATATAATCCACTCAATAGTATCATAGTAAAATACAACATATTTTTCAGCGAGATGAGAAGGCTTGTTGGCATTAAGACAGAGTCGAGGAGATCGGAAGAGTATAGTTGGCGATGAGCTAGCGATTGCGGTTGATGTTGAGCACGTGCATTTTCAAAAATTTCTGTTAGTTAAAATATTCAGCCCTTAAATTTGTTTGAAGACCACACGTCAGGGATTCGATGTTTAATGTTCTTTTAAATATTGTCGCCAGCCTATGATGTCTACTAAGAAAATTGATTTTGGATTCTAAATATCTCAACCGGAGTTGGTTAATTTTACCAAGAATGTATTTCAGTCGATCACTTCTAGACGGCAAAATCAATGGGGATATTGATTCCAAAATCACCTTTCAAAACATCGAGTGCATATGTAAATCATCCACTCGATCAGAAATAAGATGGTTGGATACTATGGGATAACCTTGACTTTTCTAAGGAAACAAGAATATCCTTTTATCATCGTAGTTTTAACGCTTCCACATATTGCAGTATGCCTGTCCAATACTAAGTTAGGCTTTATTTATTTAAGACGCAGCCAAGATTGAATCCTCACTGACACCACAGAAAGCCTTAAAAAGAGATTGAAAGATTTCAGGAGCTACTGACCTGTAGTGAGTTGCAGTTTTAAGTTCATGACCTATAATAACTTGAAATTGATAAGTTTTGAGGGAGTCAGTTCAGAACTTTTCTAGGCGACTGACTCTACCACATTAGCATGTGACTATCAACTTCAATGATATATTGTGTGATTGTAAAACTAAATAGTACATAAATGAAATGCTTAACCATATGAAGTAGAGTGAAGTATGATGGAGGTTTATAATATTATCAACATACTTGAAGTCCATACTGAAATCACATATCACAGGTAGATGGCGTTATTTCACATGATTTGAATAGGCTAATGTGATCAGTAAATATTGTTACGCGTATAACCTAAAACCATTGGTTCTGAATTTTTTTATTAAAGAATGTTTCCAATCTCTGAATAATGTTTTTTTCAGAGAACTGCTTTTGAAACTGCTGGTATAATATTTCTTTGACATCAGTGGTTTTGCTAACTGTTCTCAATGGTCAAGCAGTATCATATATTTCAACAGGTTATATATATATATGCTTGTATATAAATGCATTACTTGTCTTTCACCTGTATCAGTGTAACATGAGTGGTTATTTTTGAGCTAGATAACTTGATATTGAAGTGTTTACTAGGGAGGGATTCTGTTTCATTTCATGGACCGTATAAATTTTGAGATAAACATTAATAGTATGCACCAATTACAGTAAAATCTGTTGTACCAAAACGATGAGCTTATTAGCTTGCTAAAAACATAGAGCAGACTTGAGTTACATAGTTTAGTTAACATCAAAGACCAAACAGCCAGTGATACCAATTATTCTATGGCACTTAAATATTGGTTTCACGTGTGTATACGCTTAAAGTCTAGCCTTTTAATCCATCTAATATGTAAAACAATTAATCTAGCTAACGTTTGAGCAACTACCTTTTGCAGATTACATACGTTTCCTTTCAAAATTCAACAAATTTTAAGGTATATATGTTGCATGGAGACCAATAGATAAACCTTGGAACCAACAAGATTGTCAACGTGTATGTTCCACTTCTCGTTGTTTTTGTGGACACTCTTTAAATCAACATGAAGCGTTTTCTGTGAATAAAGCATTCCCAAAGTGTAATCAGGTTGGCGTTCATTGTTTTAATTAATTATTTTTAGATTTGTTTTGTGCATAAATAACGTTCTGTAAGACTTTTTCACCTGTTACATAAGTTTTAAAGCATAATAATTGTTAAATAACCAGTAAATCAGGTGAAAAACAAAGTTAGACGATTGGTAGACATCTGAATTTCAGTTAATATATTTTACAAATTTATGTTTCTTACATAAATGAGTCAGGAGAACATACAGAACTAGGTGAAATTCAAGACGAAGGGAATGTAAATTGAGATAATGAGTGTATTTATATGTAAAATTGTGATTAATTTTAAGTCATATCTCTTTGAGTCCTAATAAGAAAGTAGAGCGCTGCACATTCTGATCGATGTTTACGTGTAAGACGGCATTAAGACCCAAATTTAACCGCTAAACTGGGTTGTTACACTCACTAATTATCTCCCAAAAGGGAACGTCAACCAACGAGCCTCTCATTAACGTTCATGCATCTGACAAAATATAACTCTCGCTGAGGTAGAAATGTGCAATATGAAATAAAAATTACCTAGAAAGTAAGTGGTATCATGTCAGTTTGTACCTAACTATATCAAAAAATCACCAGATATCAAGTATTAACTCAGATCTTTTTGTATTAAATTGAATTGCTGTCAGTTATAATATCTACAAGATTAGTCACTGCATTTACAATATTGAAAATATCGACCACAGGGAATGTACTTGATGAGATCTAAATGTTGAAAATATGAGCTAAAACGGATATATCTATTAATTTCTAAATGTTTTATCAGTTATCTAACTTAGTGCGAAATTTTAAAGATTAAATTCGGTAACATTTCAGAAGATTATATGTCAATTTTTCACACCTAGCAAGTCAACTACATCATTTAGTAAACACGAATAACACAAAAAAGTTTCTTAATGATGACTAGTAGAAGTGTAGATCTGTGGACGCTTATTGAATTCCACCCATTTTTCAACATAAACAATGTTCTATGTGTGCTAGGATTCGGCCACATTTATCTACTCTTCGTGATGTTTAATAATCTGGCTATGAGCTGAACAATCAAAATCAGACATGGAATTTATGGGCATTTGTTTTTCTCCCCGATTTTTAGTTGTTAATATTAATAAACACTTCCATGTCGTGGTCTCTTACACTAAGACATTTATACATAGGTACCTCAATTTTATATTTGCATTGATATCAATAGTCGACAAAGGAATTTTGCTCTCGTCATCCGGTATGACGGTCAGATGCTGTCGTTAGTTTATTCTTCTGAATAAACATTATTATTTAATAAATATTATTGCCCTATGTAATCTAACTTATCACAGGTCTACTTTAAGCAAGTCAACCGAATGATCTACAAAGTAAGAATTGATTGTGACACATCGATTTAAGTATTTGCATCTAAAGAGAGAAAGGATGATCCTTCCCACAACTTGGCTTGTTTATATTATTAGTTTCACGTTCTTATTTTGTTCTAGACTGGGTGCTCATGCAAAGGGTTTAAGTTTGTTCCCAGTAGACCAGAAGAAGTTGGTGAATTTTGGTTAACTAGACGCAATGATTTTGATGGTAATTCGTATCGCGTTAAATGCAAGTGTAAGCATACTCATGAAGAACATGTGGCTGATCTCGTTCCTTATCGATGTAAAGTTAAAAGATGCAACTGTTCGGGATTTTCATCAGCTTTCCTTTGCGCTGGATGTGACAAGCACTGGCATGAGCATCAAACAGTTTTTGAAACTGAAATGGAACGTAAAGCTGAAGGACGTCCAGTTGGTAAGTTTAGATAAGTGGTCAAGGTTACTAGATGTTATTTTATCATATGTTCATGGTCCTGACTACGTTGTAAGGGAGTTGTATTATGGATATACTAAACCTAACTAAATATTGATTCCTCAATTGGTTTTCAAAAGTCCTAGCTCTTTTCTCAAGTGTTTGTTTATTAATAAAGAATGTGGTACTTTACCAATATACTTATGTCACCAAGTTCATCAGATAAACTATAGCTAGCTTATTTTATCTGAATCCGTGTACTCATTTTTAATGTGATGTAAATAAGTATAGAGTGGATAAATTATATACAAAATATTATAATATTACAAGTATTAAGTAATGTTTCGGATGAAATGTTGAAATGTTTTTTATATTTGATTGGTTATCTGTAACATTACTTTGGATAATGTAAAAGCATTATATTCTGCAGTCATTCGAGTTTACTACTGATTCATACACTTATACACAATCTCACCTAGCTATCTGAAATGAAAATAAGTCCACAACTCACTTATAAATTTATACATATCTCCCTCAGAAAATTAGGTCAGGTTTCTAACCGGTAGCGTAAATATATTTCCTAAGTTAAGCTAAGTCGTGACAAACGGTATGCGTCCGTCAGCATCTCCTATTTATCATTTGACTTATGTCTGATTAAGTTGGTGTATCATCTGTAACCCCTGCAAAATAAGTCTGGCTATTTGGATTAAGCCATTTAAATCAAGGTGAGACTACAGGAAGTTATCTTTAGATCTATATTCCTACACAATTATTGATTTGACGTTGCATAGACTCAGATTGTTACTGCTTTTAGTTACTATCTATAAAGATAGTATTTAAGAATATAATTTGTTTAACCAAGCAATTTATTATTGTCTGATTTGTAAAATGAAACTAGCATCATATCGATGACAATTTTGTGACCAAGTAATATTCAGAATCCAATCTCAAACGAAGTTCGTTCATGATATAAACATTTTGCTGGTGACATTTTTGATTACGACGCTATTATATATTCTGCCACTTAGTATTCTTCGGACACAATCCTTCCGTCGACTGGTTCCAACTTGGCGCACAAATCGGGAGTGAACAAAAATTATATTCTGAAAATCCGAACAGAAAAAAGTCGTGTGGTAAAGACGTTAACTCAAGCGTAAAGTTTAAAGAGAAATATTCCACATTCTTCTCAATCCATCCACCGGCTCTAATTACTTAAAAATTAACCATTTAGAGTGTTCCTACTTGATCTTTTCTAAAGCACATATTAGTCAAGACCACCGTTTAGCTAACTGACACAAAGTAATGTGGGTTTTTAGCTTTTAAAGAATGACTTTGTGCAAAGTTTTAGATGCACATTTTTTGGTGAGCATCATCATAAAAGACAGTTAAGTTTTACAAATTTCCGATGATTAATTTCACATATTTAACAAAGTGTGCCATCACTTTTGTTTCATCAGTAGCCTTTGAACAACCTGTAAATAATTTTCTTGATATTTAAATTTGTTTAATGAAATATATGAGAAAACCTCTACTAAGTGTATTACATTGCAGATAATAAATATGTAAAGACATCACCGTAATTATGTAAAACAACCATAAAGTTGCTCAATTAACCAGTTCAAATTTGGAAAAGAACTGTGTATAATTTCTTTTTCGCTTACTGTTAATGCTGATAATAAAATAGATTGCAAAATGATCGCCTAGACCTGAATTATGTCCAAAAGGTTTTAAATTATGGTAATGCACTTTTTCTATGACCACTGGGTAGGTGTAGTGGTAGTAAATCAGGTAACAAAATAATACAGTGACCCTTTGTAGTACAGGATAATGCCAAAAAATTAACAATCCATAGTTTTCTTTTAATCAGTTTTGAATTAGTAAAGTGTTGACTATCAAAACGTCATAAATGAAAAGTAAAAAACACATATAAGGCACTTTTAAGATTATTTCAACAATTTGTTATTGCTTTTTAGTATTTCTGACTTAAGTTTCGTTGCTAGTCCCGGATGAGTGGGGTAATGAGGTTTGTAGAACAGTTGAACATTCTTCTCTTGGAGAAGTCAGGATCTCAAATGTCCGTGTATGGCCTGAAGTAAAGAGGATATGTCTTTTCAGAAACACATCTATACAGTCATGAATTTATGGTTTGTATCATTAGGTTCTCTTCATTAACTTTACGTACCTGAGTTATCTACGGCAAAGAAAGTATATTACAGGGGATGTAATGAACTTGATTCGGATCCTTGAATACATAGAATTTAGGTAGGTATGGTATAAATCAAAAGTGTCATACAAAAAAGATATATGAACCTATATATTTATCACTATCTACTATAAAAATGCATCTTTTGACATTTTCTCTTGCTTCCTATGTCGAAACTTTAGATTAGAGGTTCAAAGATGATTCTAGAAGTACGAATGTATTCGTTTCTTTTTGGTTGTTGTTGAAATTTTGGGCCTGGGTTTAATTCTGTACTCCTTAATCCCCCTACTTTATCCCTTTATTTCGATTCATATTTCCTATGTTTTAGCGGTTTCAATCTCTTTTTTGATGTAGTTTAAGAAATTAGATTAGCGAATTTTTGCACCAGGTCCTAAGTTACATATAGCTGATTGACCACTTGACTGATAGATTCAGGGTCTTACACTGGTCTCCTAAAAAATCAGTTCTGTTTCTAGAAAATTTCCTGCATGTTTCAAGAATCTTTGTCAGTGTTGATAACTTTCAGACAATATGTATTTTTAAACTGTTGCTATATATAATATATAGTACGAAATTCTTTACCATTCATAAGTTTCAACTGAATTTACATGTCTCCCACACTCGATATTCCCACTGAAACTCGAATTCAGGGCCTGTAGTCTCAAACGCCTACGCGTTACCACATAAGCTGATATGTATTATAATATAGCCTTATAAGGACTTATAGCTAAAATTAATATTCAGCTTTTGTTCAGAATGCAGATATTCAAACAGAGATCGATCAAATACAGTTCTAAATATTACTAACGCTTACAATGTACAAATACTTTAAATATATTTTCGGTTTCATGGAGACAATGGAGTCATTAAGTTTTATAATTTATTATACCTTTTTTAATAGGTGAAGGATGGATTCCGTTTGCTGAATTACCAGAATTAGCTAAAATTGCACTGACTGGTGTAGATAATCCAGCTATTCAAACATTAACTGATGCTTTGTCAGCAAGTGCTCGTCAAAGTCTTCTAGAAAAACAAACTTTACCTGCTATCTCTGGATCAAAAGATTAAAAAAAATGGCAGCATTAATAATAATGGCAATAATTTTAAAGTAAATGTTCTTTGAATAAATGTTTCAATTTATTTGTTGTTGACAGAAATCTATATTTCTATACTACTTACTATTTTGATTTTCAGTAGTATTTGCAAATGAATATTTATACACATATATTTCATTTATTATGTGGTTTTAATACCCATTACTTTTCTTTTCTTTTCACTGTGTTGTTCTCATTATTCTTTCCTTAAAATCATTTGAATGGATTCATTTCCTTTATCATGATTATTTCACCATTAATGAGATATATAATTTTTAAAGTATATTTTGCTGTTCAAGATAGACTGAAACAAATTCTTAACTTATTTTAAAGAACTTGATAAAGTGAAAAGTATCAACCGTTGTAAAATCCTTTAATATAAAAACCTAAATGTTGTATGAAATCATGATTTAAAGCAGCTATCTAACCCTCATTGTTTTTTTTTCTTTAATGGTTATTTAGTAAAAGTTAATTTTCTGACAGAAAACTAGTTTCAAAGAGTATTTTTTCTTGTGTGTGTGTGTGTGTGGCTTATTTCCATTTGTACTTTTTCATGTACTTTTCTTTGCAAAGATTCACTTTATATTTTTATGGTTCTTAAGTGGACTATTTCTTTCTTGAACTTTGTTCAAGCTGTGATTTATTTATTTTTTTCTCTCCAGAATAAAAAACGATATAACTATTTATTTTTTGTTGTTGAAATCATGAGTCAATTGAAGCTAGAGCACCATGGAAAACCTGGAAGCAGTGGACGGCCTTTTCGTCGTAGTATGGGACTCCAACAGTGCTCATCCAAGATCCCGCATCCCGCGAGATTTGAAGCCGGGACTTATCATTCTCGCACCAGGCGTTTAACCAACTAGACCATTGAGCCGGCATCCCGTGGTGTTAATGTCTAACTTCAACCAATCCACGAAATTGCGCGACCATCTTCCATTGTACTGAGGTAGACACCTGTTCCTACTCGACACGGATTAGCTACACTAGTTACGGCTTCTCAGAACATTTAATTTACCTACCGTTTAAATAAGATAAACTTAATGTTTTTATTATTATCACGGACAAATGAGAAATACTCCAAGTAACTTTGATATTCTGATCGTCATAGTTTCACTTTTTATTCAGATCACTATTGTTAACCACTGTCGTACAGTAAAAAATAGACAAACAAACAACAACAACTAATAATCATGATTTATCAGTTCTCTCTGTTACTTAGTAGTGAACAAGAACACGAATGAGGACAACTGAAAGTATTTGATATGAATATTTCAATAAAATCTGAGAACCATATAGTAAATAGTTAATTTGCAAAATATTAATCCATCGTTTTAAATTTGACTGTTCCTTTTGCAAATATCAGTCCATTGTCTTAGATTTCATTGTTCATGCATTTTCATACCAATTGTGTTCCGTTCCCATTCTTTCCTTCTCGATCTTTTACTGAAATACATCCTATACCTGACCATCGTCATATACTACTTATATGAATATAAGTAACTCACACCACAACTTGACGTTAAGTTATGAAATTTTATACTTTTTTTCAGCTTATTAATTATTCTCGTAATTTTTTGTGCACTTATTACTGTTCTTATCTTTCTTATTATTTGAACCATCAAATCGTGTACTGAGCTGAGAAAATAAATGAAGTTTTCCCCAATACTTAACTTTATTTCGCTTATAATTCGTGTCAGAGATGATTTATCCATCTATATTGATGCAAATATATTCCTCAATCGTCTTTAGTCTTGTCAGAAATGATGTTAGCAGTTCATTTTGTTTAAAAATGATATGAAAAAGTCAAGATAGAAAGTAAAGTAAACATGTTTGTAAGGGTTTGGTATATTCCCATTGTTTGATGTTCAAGAATTTAATCACTCAGTCTTTATTGGCATTTGTTCATCTTGTGCTGATTAATTCAATGTGAACATCAACACTGGGATATAATTGGCATATATAGTTGACGAGCTCCAAATAAAATGAAACACAAGTCTAGGTTTCTACTGTCATTCCTTATCCAACTTAAACAAAATAAGTGTGATTATTTTTAATTGATTGTTAAATTTATTTGACAATATCTTGGCTAATTTAAGTGACACGTTGATAACTTTAGAGTATAGGAATAGCAAATAAATATTTATTCAGCATAAATCCAAAATAACGATGTTCTAAATATTACAAATGAATTCTAAATGGTCATAGAATACTTTCTGTATACCATATATCCGATATTATGAATATAAATATAATCCGACCAGGAACTTTGTGGGATCCAAGATAACCTAAAGATTATAATAAAAGCTGACGAGCAACCAAGCCAAAAAAGGTGGCTTAGTGGAATCCGCTTGTGTATAAATCAACGTTATTAGTTAAAGGAATTTACGAACAAGGTTCCCATTACAAGTCTACTAGACAAGATCGTTTATCACTTTACATACAAAAACTAGACTCTATACTACTGAATTAACACCGACATGTGGGAATTCTGCCGCATAGAGACCTGGATATTTTCTCGTAACCAAATCAAAATGACCTAACTAATAGATTGTAGTTTTATAAGTGAGTTAGTCAATGGTAATTGTTCGTTTTAAACAAATAAAAAAGAAGGTGAGTAGCTAGCATCAATATAAATCAATAAATTCGCTTTAAAAACAACTTATTTGTTAACTTTTTATGACGGAGTCATTGAAGAGCTTTGGTATGACAGCCTCGTCGTCTAAAATTTAGACGTAACTGTACATAACTTTAGTTGTCTTTTAGACAACTGTGAGATAACGATAGAGATTCGTAGTTCATCAGGAGGATCTTAAAGATATTTTGTTCTCTGAACTAAATAATTTAACTACAGAAATTTTATTCTCTTTCTAGACAACATTATCGGCACAAACTTAAAATGAGAAAGATTATTATGCAATTTTCGATATGCGGTTTTGCAGATCGTTGAATTCCACTAAAATCACGAACCCATGTTAAACTGTAGCGAACAAGAAGACGAGTGGGGACAATCGATTGTATTTGACACAAAAATTACAGGACTTGTTAGTAAAATCTAACAATCATATAGTAAAAATGCTCAATTTGCCAAATGTCCATCACTTTTGTCAAAATGACTCAGACTTCATCGTTCTTGCATTTTCATAGAAATCGCATTCTGTTTCCATTCTTTACTATTCGATCCTCTTGTCTCTGCTGCCAGATCTTCTGTTCACGACTAACATCATATACTACTTATGTCAGTATAAGTAGTACACACCACAACACCACCATTGAGAACCTGGAAGTGAACGTCTGTTTCGTCCTAGTGTGGGGCTCCTAAGCAGCGCCCATCCCAAGTGCGCGGTCGCGGACGTCAGCGAGAAATAAAACGAAATCTTCTCTAGAAAAATTACCCAGTTCAGTAAATACAACACCTAGAATTCAGGAGAAATTTCTTCAATATACTAAAATGATGCTAAATATAAATTAGACAATTTTTTTCTGGAATTGAAATTTGCTATTCATAGTTTTTTAAAGCACATATATCAACTTTAAGTACAGACAAAGAGGAAAATGACAAGTTTAGTTTGAACGAAGGCATCCTGATGAAAATATTAAATGAAAATGGGAGTTAGCTTTGAGTCAACCAATTAAATACGGGTCAAGTATTTTGCCAAAACATATTAGTTACTTATAAGTAGTATGAATTATTAGATATATATTGTGTGAGATTTATTTCATCCTGTTCAAGCAAGTATTTTTGCCGTTTCAGAATTGTTTACAATAATAATACGAAAAAGATATGCTGAATTACAATCATTATTTCTGGATTGTTTTTGATAGCCGGTTGGATACATGGTGTCTAACAATCTCCACCATTGTAGTATATACAATATCTGTGTTTTTTGTATCAATCTTAACTTACAAGAATATTAATCGCAAATACATTTTTTGTTGTGTCCCAATGAGTAGAAAAGTTGTATTGCTGACGTTTCGCGAGGTAATGTAAGCCAATTTTTCAAATGAAATAAATAACCGAATTAAATTAACACATGTGTGCTATTCGGATGTGTGTTAATTTAATTCGTTTATTTATTTACTCGGAAGAAGTGGTTTACATTAAGTCACGAAATGTCTACTCATTGGAATATAACAAAAAGTTATACTTACTATTACCTTTCTATCCAATACTCAATTTATTTGAAACTATCAAGTTCAACCTTGGCATTGATACCTATAAACTCATTTACAAAAAATATTGTTCACAGCCACTATTGAAATAAAGTTTTTATTTGATTACCTGTAATGTTGTTGGAAGTAGTCAATCACTGTTCCGAAATCCCCTTAGAAGCCAAAAGATTGACCAGAACCAGTTTTTTCCATCACCGTTTCTGAATATTTCTGAGAAAATTCACTGTATTTAACCTTTATCTCGTTGATCCGGTGCATCAGTTACTACTAAATTAATATTTTTTCCAAGGTGACTAGTGAAGTTGTCATTAAACTAACCTCAGGATTAAAGCTTTATTCACATATTCAATATCTGATTTTGTGTAAGCTTCTAGCGTTTAGGACTCAACCCCATGTCACCCAGCTTCACAAACTGATACGTCGCCAATGAGCTGCATGAGTTGCGACTGACCTGAAGGACTGAGATGCATTTAAAATCTCTTGATCACTAGTTAGTGATCATTGTGTCTCAGCTTGAAGCTGAGTGACATAGGATTGAATCCGTGAGAGAACATCAAATCCCTCATGATTACAGGTACACCTTTCAGAAACAACCGGTCATTTTCAAAATTTTACTATAACCTATCACACAATAAATTAACTAACTAACTAAATATAATAAAACCATTAAGTTTGTTTCAATCGAATCATTAATTTGTTCACTTCAATACAGAAGAAATTGTCAAAGATAATGTTATGATTTCATAACTTAAAAAAATATTGTTTTATTCACTGTCATAGTGATTACATGAACAATAATTTTTATTAGTTGAGATCATGAGTCAACTGAAGCTAGACCACCGGGGAAAACCTGGAAGCACTGAAAAACCGTCTAATGGTTAAACGCTCGCGCGCGAAACTGATAGATCCTAGGTCTGAATCTCGCGAGGCGCAATCGTAGATGCGCACCGCTGAGGAGTCCCACAATAGGATAAAACGGCCGTCCAGTGCTTCCAGATTTCCTATGGTGCTTTAGCTTCAATTGACTCATGATCTCATCTATTAAAAATTACTATATAATATCCACAAAAATCCTTATTGATAATAATAATTTTTATATTTACTGATTGTTAATGTACAAACTCTTCAGATAGAACTTACTATCCTTCATATTTACTTCATCTGATGAATTATTTTCATTTGATTTAAATGATAAAAAAACAAAAAAAAACATCACCTGTTACCATGGCAAATGGGAAGGGACTGGAATGTAATCTTGATAAAATTTAATCTATTATTAAGTTCACTTTGTTTTATCTTATTTCTTTTCACGGTGTTATGTAATCAAATTTGACAAGAATAAATTTGATCTAATACATTTAATGTCATTTATCAAGTACAAATGTACATGGATAATGAATATTATTGACATTAGTTCCTTGTCATTAGGTAACGATTAAATATTGAAATGTTTATGTAAACTTTTTATCATTGAAAGGTACTTTTTTTTGGAAAATGCTTTATAGTCAAATGGTAG